TAAATAAATTCAATCTTGTAATTTTTAAAAGGCAACACAGACCAGTCGCGTTTAATGCTCGGTACGGTTAGTGTTTATGAACCGACAATCTTTAGCATAAAAGATCAAGAGAGAGATCTTTAACATTGTAATATTTGGCATATTATACAATGTTTTATTTATTTCATTTTATTATTTCAATGTAATATAAATATCGTTGGAAATTATTCAATACATCGAAATACTCTTAAGGATCATAAAATCGTTTTCCAAATGTGTGTGTACTATTTAAAACAGTACGACACGCGCATACTGCGCAGATAAATTATAATACTTCTTTTGAAATTATTTATCTATCTTATCTAATAAATAACAAGCTAAATAAATATAGAATCAAACATTTGGTCATAGTTCTTCATATACAATCTCCTTATCTCGTATTATTACATTGTGAAAGAATGAAAATAATACATACATTAACATATTATTCATTCGATATATTATACAGATACATAAAATTATTCTCATAATTAGTGTTCTATGAACGTTTTAAATATTTCGATATTTGTAAGATAATCTGGCTACAAAATTTATCAAGCACGCGTTTCTCACTATATATATGTTAGTGCTCGGAATGCTTCAGATCGCATCATTGGGCTCCGCCTCCTGACTACCGACGCAGCGTCTCGCCCCCGCGTTGCGATTGTAGTCAGGAGGCGAAGCTTAATGTTGCGTTCCAAAGCATTTCGTGCACTGATATAGGCGAAGTAGAAAAGGTTAATACAGAGCACCTAAAGTACTAGGACACCTTTTGTAATATAATTTGAAGTCCGGACACCTTCAAATGTTTACGTTTTGAACAGATTAGTAATCTTCTATTCTTAAATTCAGTAGATTTTCTGTACAATAGTTTTATACATTATTTCTTAACGTTAATTTTATAAGCTTTTAATAAAAACTAATTTTATAAGCTAACTAACGCTTTAATAATTAACGCCTTAATAAATAAACGTTTTAAAACATAAACGTCGTAATAACTAACCATATGTCAACAGATTATTGCGAACCAAAAGTGAATCAAAAGTTAAAAAACTGAACGAAGACAGTTTTTGGTGAAAATTGTGATAAAACTGCGATTTCAGCGATCTTTAATTTGTTGTAACTCGTAACAACGTGAACCGACTTTGATAAAATTTTCAACACACATACAAGTTATCGAGATCTACTTTTTAAATTTTCGTTACAGGCTCAGAAAGACAAGATAAAAAAACGAGAGATTTTTGTTTTTTTGTCATTCCAAGTAATAGCAAAACTTAAAAAAAATCATTTCAATCATCGTCTAGTAAACTAGTCCTTCTATCATCTAAAAAAATTCGAGTCATTTAGATCAGTTTTAAAATAGTTATTGCGTTTTAAATGATGTACGAACACTTTCGTGGACCACTGTATGTTTAAGCAAACATTGAGTATCGTATAAACGTTATTTTTACTACGAGTGTTGTAATGTAGTTATGTATTCCGAATATTGTGTTGTAACGTAAGTTCGTTACGTTACGTTGACGAATCGTAACATGACATTGTTTATTTAATTCGTTAACAACTTTGCGCAGTCAAATGTCATATACCTTACAAGGGAAGGTCCGCACGGTTGACGCTCAATTTTTGATGAGATTTGGTACAGTGATGGAGCTTGTAAAGCTGAATTCAATGATACTCGGTTTTGGAGGCAGACGGCTTATAGTTTTTGAGATAATTAACCCTTAGCACTCCGAACCGTAAATGCCTCAAAAATTGGTGCGATCGTTACGCTGAACATCCTGTATAATATTTTGAAATCTGATTTAGCTGGAAATATTTAGATGTTATTCTTCAGATTCCAGTAGAATATTTGGATAGTAACATCACTTACTATCTTTTTTCAAATCATATCAACCCTAGGACACCTAGAGGATTAGAACATTTATGGTAACTTTTTGTGTCCATGTAAAATAACGTGCTAAAAATATCATTTTTTCTGTTCGAGATACATATATCTGTTTATACGATACTGTGAAATAATACATATTACTGAAAAAATTAAATATAAAAATTTTACGAAAGGACATTGTTAGAACAGAAACACATGCTTAAAATTCTGTGAACAATTTTGTAATCATATCTTAAGGATATCTAGGGTTTATAGAAACGTGTGCAGTTTATTAACCCTTAGCACTCCGAATCATTCTGGACGTTGGCTACCAGCTACTCAGCGCCACTTTTCGGCAGAAACGGGCATTTACAGACCCTCGTATTATTTAGTATGGTTTTGGACCTAACTAACATATTATAATGATATTGGATTTATATGAATTTGGCTGAAATCGAGAAATTTACAGAAAAATCAATATTTTATTTCTTATAATTTTATTATTGTTTGTTTTATAATTTTGTTTTGTTGTTGTAATCGCTATCTATGCGAACTCTTTCTCTCGTCGCCTTGTTGCTTGGACGATATCACTGTCACTGCTATCAAAACGATAGACTAACTGTAGAAGAAAACCTTCTAC